AACTGATGGGCTCTCTCAGGCATATGTTTGATTACGTGGGCAAGATGAACTGTTTAAGCCTGGAAGTACACTTTAGGTCAGAACTGTGCTTAAAACTCTGGGTTTCTGTGTTTCCATTTGTTTGTTTATCCATTTGATTAATTGCTTTTCAGCTTAATTATAGTAATATAACATCTGGCAGTGGTATCTTGTTACCAGCTTTCTGTTGGTACTTTCTGTTACTGATGGAGTTATGTAAATTATGCAGCTAGTTATTGTAGGAATGTAAAACAAAACCAACCAGGCAGATAACCCCAGGCCAACTAACCAATCATTGTTTTTATTTAGTCATTAAGTTGTGTCTGACTCTCTGCGACCCCATGGACTGTGTGGCCCACCAGGCTCCTCTGTCCGTGGGATTTCCCAGGCAGGAATACTGCAGTGGGTTGCCATTTCCTCCTTCAGGGGATCTTCCTGACCCAGGGATTGAACTGTCTCCTTGTGTCTCCTGCATTGACAGGTGAATTCTTTACCACTGTGCCACCTGGGAAGCCCTAACTAATCATTAAACGTGATTAAATAAAACAAAATTTCTGTTAACCAAGTCTTGAATTCAAAAACATGTTTCTTCTACTGTAATGTAGAAGGTACCATGACCAGTTTTGGTTAACAGAATTAAGGGCAATAGTATTTCTATTCTAGATGAACTATTTGGTATTTGGAACAGAATTTAAAAAATAAAAACAAAAACCAACCACAGAGATACCTTGTTTTACTGCACTTTGCTTTATTATGCTTCATAGATACTGTGTTTTTAACAAATTGAAGGTTTGTGGCAGCCCTGCCTGAAACAAGTCCATCACTTGCCAACAGCATCTGCTCACTTCATGTCTCTGGGCCACATTTTGGTAATTCCCACATTTGAAACCCTCCCAAAAGTGATTACAAATGATGGATAGTGTTTTTTTGTTTTTGTTTTTTTTAAGCAATAAAATATTTTTAAAATTAAGGTAGCGTAACGCTGTTGAACACGCCGTAGACGACAGTATAGTGAAAACATACCTTTTGTATGAGGGAGCTTCCCTGGGGACTCCGATGGTAAAGTATCACCTGCCCTGCAGGAGGCCGGGGTTCCATCCCTGGGTCGGGAAGATCCCCTGGAGAAGGGAGTGGCACCCGCTCCAGTGTTCTTGCCTGGAGAATCCCATAGCCATTCCAGTCCTTCTTTATGCACTGGGAAAGCACAGTGTTCAGGTGAGTCGCTTCACTGTGACGTGTGCTTCATTGCTGTGCTCTGGAGCAGCCTTCGGTGTCTCTGAGGTCGCCTGTATTTGTCATGTGGAAGTAGGCTGTTCATTTCTTCAGGGAGCTTTTATTTACCAGTCAGTTCTTCAGCTTCTGTCACGTGCATGTGATGTACGAGGTACCTGCTGAGATGTGTCAAGACACGGTCCCTGCCCACTGGAAGCATCTCACAGATGGTGGAAGACGCATAAATAGTATGCAGTTGCGTGAAGAGTGAATGCACGATAAATGCTGCCACACAGCTGTGAGCCGTGCACACTCGGATGGAGCGAAGAGTCTGGGCAACGCGGGGCAAGTCTCAGAAGGGCGCTTGAGCTGCATTTCCTGACTCCAGGCAGGGGGACAGCCCGTGAGGATGAGTGATCCTCTAAGGAGAGCAGGCCTGAGCGTGTGCAGACCAGCGGGGAGTTCTGATGCTGCATGGTCATCCGTGGGGCAGTTAGTGAGGCAGAGTGTGTGTGTGTGTGTGTAGAGTGGTCATCCGTGGGTTGGTTAGTTATGCTGTGTGTGTGTGTGTGTGTGTGTGTGTGTGAAGTGGTCATCCATGGGTTAGTTAGTTAGGGTGTGTGTGTGTGTGTGTGGAGAAGTCATCCGTGGGTTGGTTAGTTTGGCCGTGTGTGTGTGTGTGTGTGTGTGTATGTGAAGGAGTGGTCATCCGTGGGGTGGTTGGTTGGCCCTGTGTGTGTCCGTGTGTCTGTGTGTGAGTGTGTCTGTGTGTGCGTCTATATGTTTGTGTGTGTGTGTGAGTGTGTGGTCATCCGTGGGGTGGTTGGTTAGGCCGTGTGTGTGTGTGTGTGTCCGTGTGTCTGTCTGTGTCTGTGTCCGTGTGTCTGCCTGTGAGTGTGTGGAGGGGAGAGACAGGCTCGGAAGGCTCCGTCTGGGCTCAGCGGTCGCCCGCGCCCTGGAGACGGAGGTGAGGGGCTGAGCTCCTGGCCCAGGACTGAGGGGGGAAGCGGGAGGGCGTCCTCTGACTGAGGAGGCACGGGAGGGTTTGGAGGTGTTTCTGGATATTTGTTCTTTTTGTTGGGGTGACACAGCGAGGAGGTCGTCGGCAGGGGAGGGAGAGGGCGGTGGGCGCCAGTCAGGGCGCCGCCCAGACGCGCAGCGGGCGCGCATCTCGGGGAGACTCGGGAAGAGCTGGGAGCTGTGGGAAGAGCATCTGGGCGTCGCCCGACTCTTCCTCTGCATGAGGAAGGCCCTGAAGTGGGAAGTGAGCGGAGGCCGGAGTGGCCGGGGCGGCCTGAGCGGCCTGGTCCCGCTTTGGCGCGGCCCTGGAGGAGGAGTGGTGAGGGGCCCCGAGCGGGTTTTCTCCCACGGAGCCTCGGTCAGGGTGGGAGGGCGGCTGGAAGAGCCGTGCACAGGAGCCTGGCCCCTCTGGCCAGACCGACCGGCTGCGTGCGGAGCCCCTGTGAGCGGTGCCGACCCTGCCCTGGAGGCGCTGGGGCAGGTTAGTGGGACAGCAGGGGGCGGAGAGGCCCAGCAGAGCTTTTCTCCAAACTTGATTTGCAGATTTGAATAAATGACGCATGGCGACCATGTATCACATAGAGACAGTACCCAGGCATTTCAGAACTTAGAGGAACATGTGGATTCTTGAGTAGATTTTAACTTAAGGAGTCTTGTCAAAACCTATGTTTCTGATTTTGGGGTTCACCCCTTTATAATCAGTGTTTTTCCTGTTGATTAGGAAGAAACCCGAGGACCAGTATTTTAAGTTTTTTGATGGGAATTAAACATTGTACATTTATCGACATTAAAACTCACTTTTCTGGTATACAGTTTGGTTAATTTTTGCACATGCATGGAATAGGTGCTTACAAGCCCGCACAGACGGCATGTGGGACATCCCCAGGACCTGTGTGATTTCCTCCCCCGCCCCGTCCCATTGCTGACCCCGTGAGGGAGCCGCATGCCTGCACTTTTTCTGGGTGCCCGTAGTTCCTGTCTTTTCTAGGGTGTCACACAAGGGATATGGTCATGCCGTATGTGGCCTTTGAGAAGGACTTCTTTCACTTAGGCCGACGCATGTGCAGGTCACCTATGTTGTCGGGAGTATCAGCACTTCTTTCCTTGTTTTTCATTGTGTGGATGAACCACAGTTGGTTTATCCATTTCCCAGGGGAGGGACACTTAGTTGGAGTCCAGTGTTTGGAATTGATTACAGAAGTTAACCAATGGTTACAGAAGAAAAAAGCTGGTATAAACAGTACCTTCAGGTTTCCATATGAATATAGATTTTGTTTCATTTGGATAAATGCCTAAGACTAGGATTTTTGAGTCTTATGCTAAGTGTGTGCTTAACTGGCTAAGAAATGTCTGTTTTCCAGAGTGGTTGTACCATTTTGTGTTCCTACCAGCAGTGCGTGAGTCTTCCTGTGGCTCTGTGCCCTTTGCAGGTGTGGTGGTAGTTGCATTTCTCAGTTTCGCTGTCCTCGTAGGTGGGTAGTGATGTCTCAGTGTGGTTCTCATTGGCATCTGTCTGCTGATCAGTGATGTAAGGCATCTTCACCTGCTTAGATGACAGCTGTGCATCTTTTGTGAAGGAGCTAATGTTTTTGCTGATTAGCTTTATTGGGTTGTTTGTTTACTTGTGGTTTAAAGTTCTTTATGTATTCTTGATATAGGTTCCTTTCTGAGATATATGCAGTGTTTCTTCCCAGTCTGTAATTTATCTTTTCAGCTCCTGGACAGAGTTCTTTGCAGAATAGAAGTGTTTTATTTTGATAAAGTCCAATATATCAATTTTTTCTTTTATGGGTAGTGCTTTTAATGTTGTATCTGAGAAATCCTTGACTAACTTCAAGTCATGAAGATTTTTTCCCTATGTTTTCTTGTTTTATAGTTTTACATTTTACACTTAGGTCTGTAATTTGAGTTAATTTTCAGTTCAGTTCAGTCCCTCAGTCGTGTCTTACTCTTTGTGACCCATAGACTGCAGCATGCCAGGCCTCCCTGTCCATCACCAACTCCTGGAGTTTATTCAAACTCATGTGCATTGAGTTGGTGATGCCATCCAACCATCTCATCCTCTTTTGTCCCCTTCTCCTCCCACCCTCAATCTTTCCCAGCATCAAGGTCTTTTCCAGTGAGTCAGCTTTTCATGTCAGGTGGCCACAGTATTGGAGTTTCAGCTTCAGCTTCAGTCCTTCCAATGAATATTCAAGACTGATTTCCTTTAGGATGGACTGGTTGGATTTCCTTGCTGTCCACGGGACTCTCAAGAGTCTTCTCCAACACTGTAGTTCAAAAAGCCTTAGTTCTTCAGCACTCAACTTTCTTTATAGTCCAACTCTCACATCCATACATGACTACTGGAAAAACCATAGCTTTGACTAGATGGACCTTTGTTGGCAAAGTAATGTCTCTGCTTTTTAGTAAGCTGTCTAGGTTTGTAGTGTTTATAGTGTTTCTTATAAACACTATAGCTTTATAGTGTTTCTTAAAATCAGGTAAAGTGAGTTTTCCAAACTTGTTCTTCTTTTTCAGAATTATTTCTGCTGTTCTAATTCCTTCAACTTTCCATGTAAATTTTCAAGTCAGCTTGTGTATATCTGTAAGGAATACTGCTGGGAATTTTAGTGGAACTGCATTAAATCTGTAGATCAATTTGGGGGTGTTCAATACTAATGAATTTTATTTGATCTCTTCCAACAGTTATGTAGTTTTCAGCATACAGACATTATTATTTTAATTTTAAATATTTTACAGGCTGAATTATGGAAATGGGAAGTGAAGAAGAAAAATGGGAGAAGCTGGATGCGGAATTTGATCACTTTGTGGTAGATATGAAGCCTTTCGTTCTAAAATTACCCCACAGGTCAGGTAAGATTATGTTTGAAAATTAGGTTCTTATCATTAATTTTTTTCTTTGTATTATTTAGCCAAACCAATGAACTTCCAATATGGAGAGAAAACTGAATTTGTTTAGTAACAATTTTCATCTTATAAAGGATTGTTACTCTGAGCTGTTCGAGGGAACAGGGAAATTCAGCAATGATGATCTCTTATTAAGCCATGGCAAGGTCTTACATGTTACATGTCCATGTCAGGAGCTTAAACTGCATGAATCTTTCAAGTTAGCTGTAACAGTTTTTTCCTCAGACTTTTTCCTCCTTCCATGGAAATGGTTCCTTTCAGGAGCTTACTGTACACCTGTCTCTGACCCTTTTGTTTATTAAAGCAGAAAATAGTCTGTTAATCTTCCCTGCTTATTGGTTGACTGAATAAAAATCAAGTGTGAATGAGTTTTTGTTGCTGTCTTGTTTGTAGTTCCTAACCTGTTACACTTTGAGAGTTTTTGTCTCAAGTCAGAGATTTTCAGATAATGTAAGGTTTATCAGAGAGCAGGTAAAGAGACTATGAGGAGCTTGGAAGCTTCTCTAAGTTAGGGCAGCCGTAAGGCTGGCTGTAAAAGTAAATCTGTTTTGGGAGCTTTTGAGTGGAGGGTTAGGAGTGGGGACAAGAAACTGGCATCTTCCCCAAGTTTTGTCCAAGTTCCCTCTTAACTCTGAGACACCTAGTGAACTTCACATTCAGAAGAAGGAGCCAAGTCAATGTAGACCTTTACCCCAGGGAAGGGGGCTGTGGTGTGTGAGTCCCAATCCTGTGGTCATCCACCGGACAGGCAGGGCCTGCAGCCCGCCGAGTCCGGGGGTTTGGCTCAGTCTTCCCTTCACGCTCTTCCTCTGGCCTCTTCTCTTGTGTTGTTGGATGGTAACCTCTTTTTTGTTCCTCTGCTATTCTTAAAATGAGTACTTCCTGTCCCATGGCTCATCCACAGTTAGTTGAACTAGTATTTAGTGGTGTTTCTACGTTGTGTTCTCTTCTGATATTCACTGTTTTTTCCTTCTTGTGTTAGATCTGCTGATTTAAATGTATATTAAAATCTCTCATTATAAATGTACTTCAAGTCAAACTATGTTCATATTTCATCTTTTAAAAAGGGATTTGGGGTATCTAGAATGGGATTAACTGTAATCTTTGGTTTGTGACTCATTGTGGAAATTAGTACATCCCTGGTGCTTTTTTATGCCATTAATTCATAACGAAAGCTCAAAAACTCACATCCCAGTCAAGACCTGACCATTCATATAACTTCAATCTCATTACAGTTAAATTCTACTTAGTTTCCCCCCATTATTTTAAGTAATGAGTTTTTTTCATTAGCCAAATGGCTGTACTAAGCTCTGTTCATTTGTATATTATATGTTAATAGATTTCAGTTTTCTCTAGGACATATAGAAATACACAGTTTGAAAAACCGTTTACTTAAGTTGATCAGTTTTACTTACTGTTTTCTTTTTGCACAAAGTACACCCAATATTGGGGCCTCCCTGGTAGCTTGGCGGGTAAAGAATCCACCTGCAATGTAGGAGACCCTGTTTCAGTTCCTGGGTTGGGAAGATCCCCTGGAGAAGGGAAAGGCTACCCACTCCAGTATTCTGGCCTGGAGAATTCCACGGACCGTATAGTCCATGGGGTTGCAAAGAGTCGTACATGACTGAGCCAGTTTCACACCCAGTATTTCAAGAAGTTTGTTTGTTTTGTGATTATATAATTTTCAAAACAAAAAATACAAAGTTCTTTAGAGACTACTCTTATACCTGGAGTGATAAATCCAGCCTGAGCAAAGTGGTAAATCAACCCCAGGGATTTTTGTAGGTACAACAATAAACGAATATGACCTTTAGAGACTAAGAGATTAAAGCAGATTTATGATTCGTGTTAGATATATAATCCTTAAATTGAGTTAGACAGAAAAGATTAATGTTGAAATAGACTTGGTGAGCCCTGAAAACAATTCTGTGTCATGGTGAGATGAGGCAGTCAATAGGCCATTATATGTGGATTAAACCATGGTACATTTTTAAGGTAGTTTTTAAAAGGATAATTATTTTTCAAAATTATATTTAAATACAGTAATCCTCAAATATTTTTAGAGAGGTTAAAAGAAAACCCTAAATAAATCATTGACAAATCCTTGAAAATTATCAGCTTTAATAAATAAAACACTTGAGATTCAATTTTAGATTGAGTTTAACATGCTTAAGTAAGTTTGCATTTTCTCTCTCATGGTTTTATAATTAAAATTATAGAAAGATTTTTTTCAATACAACTAAAATTATTTTAGAGATGATTTTTGGCAAAACTTTTGTCTCAGAGATTTATCTGATGGTAATCCTGGAACTCTAATCGACTGATAAGAGTCTGGCCCAGGGGTGGCGGGCTGCAGCCCTTGTCCCCATCCCACCTGCGGCCTTTTCTGTGAAGATTGATTAGAAAACAGCTATGACCCCTGGTGGATGCGTGGTGTGGGCGATTCCTTGCAAACTTGAGACGTTGTGTGGAAGATCACTTGGGCCTGCAAAACCGAAATGTTTGCTGTCTGGTGCTTTACAGAAAAGATCTGCTAGCCCCTGTGCTGGATGAGAGCAGATGTTTTATGGGTCTGTAAGGGAATGTTGTGTTTTCTGAGAAATGCAGCCTAACAGCCCCTGTGTGTGTCTAGAACGGCAGCGGTGCGCACTCTGGATCAGAAAGCTGTGTGAGCCTTCAGGTACCGGCACCGGCATCCAGGGCAGGAAGAACCGCAACTTGTACGCCAAGCTCCTGCTGCACATGCTCCGGCGGGGGGTGCTGGAGGGCCCGTTCACGCAGCGCCCCGAGCCAGGGACCCTCAGAGCCCTGCCTTCCTACATGGTAGGTGTGTGTGCGCCAAGCGCCTTACCGCCCATGCCCAGGCGGGGGCGCTGGAGGGCCCTGCTTTCCTACCTGGTGGATGTGTGTGCGCCCAGCGCCTTACCGCCCATGCCCAGGCGGGGGCGCTGGAGGGCCCTGCTTTCCTACCTGGTGGATGTGTGTGCGCCAAGCGCCTTACCGCCCATGCCCAGGCGGGGGCGCTGGAGGGCCCTGCCTTCCTACCTGGGGGATGTGTGTGCGCCCAGCGCCTTACCGCCCATGCCCAGGCGGGGGCGCTGGAGGGCCCTGCTTTCCTACCTGGTAGATGTGTGTGCGCCAAGCGCCTTACCGCCCATGCCCAGGCGGGGGCGCTGGAGGGCCCTGCTTTCCTACCTGGTGGATGTGTGTGCGCCAAGCGCCTTACCGCCCATGCCCAGGCGGGGGCGCTGGAGGGCCCTGCTTTCCTACCTGGGGGATGTGTGTGCGCCCAGCGCCTTACCGCCCATGCCCAGGCGGGGGCGCTGGAGGGCCCTGCTTTCCTACCTGGTAGATGTGTGTGCGCCAAGCGCTTTACCGCCCATGCCCAGGCGGGGGCGCGTGAGAGCCCTGCTTTCCTACCTGGGGGATGTGTGTGCGCCAAGCGCCTTACCGCCCATGCCCAGGCGGGGGCGCTGGAGGGCCCTGCTTTCCTACCTGGTGGATGTGTGTGCGCCAAGCACCTTACCGCCCATGCCCAGGCGGGGGCGCTGGAGGGCCCTGCTTTCCTACCTGGTGGATGTGTGTGCGCCAAGCGCCTTACTGCCTTTGCTCAGGCGGGGGCGCTCGAGGGCCTGTTCACACAGCACCCTAGGGTCATTTATTAAGTTACAAGTCCTAGATAGGCGTTAGTTAAAACAATTTTTTTGCTCTGTGATTCAGTTTTTTTCCACCTCGAATGGAAATTAGAGATTGGGCTCTAAGGGGACTATACTTAATTGATTTAGTCACCGCCCAGTATTCTGCAATATTTTTTAAAAGTTAAAATTTATTATTTCCCACTGATTTTAAATAATTTTAATTTTAAATAATTTTAAAATTATTAATTTCCCACTGATTTTCACTGGATTACATTAATTTTCACCGGGTTACACTAATAATGTATAGATGTCAGTAAATTCTAGCTTCTGAAGCTTTCTAGATGTTAACATGAATTTGAGCAAACCTCAGAATAGTGAAGGTGAGGGAAACCTGGTGTGCTGCAGTACATGGGGTCTCAAAGTCAGACACAACTTAGCCACTGAACAGCGAGTATGTTTTACTTAATGTATATGAGAGGTGGGATTGAATGACTTCCAGTGTTTTTTATGATCTTATAAAATGACAATAATGAGAGTTTAGAAGTGATTTTCTGTACTTTGATTTCATTATCAAAAATCAGCTTTGTTACAGAGGCAGTTGGCATTTGCTTGGTTGATGAATATTCAGTCTTGGACCTCATAACCGTGAAATATGTCTTGGTTTATGTGGTGTTTGGATACTTGAGAAATCTGTAGGTGTTGGTGGTTGCTGCTAGATGTATATTTATTAAAAAATAAAAAACCCTGCAAAACTTTTGTGTAGTATATTTTAAGATTTTATCAGTTAAACCAAAGTTCAGTTAAGAGGCATGCTGCACACTAGATAATTTCTGTTATTCATGGCAGAATGTCAGACTTTTTGATGAGATTCTGCTTTATATGTTAAAACTATGGCCATGCATTTTCTTAAGATCAGTCGTCTTTGGGGTAGTAGTTTCTTGACTTGATAATTGATTAAGCACTGGAGTGACTTTCTCAATGAAAAAGAAACAGCTGTGCCTGTTTGACTTGGGGTAGAGGATAGTGTGTCTCCCTTCCTTAGAGAAAAGTCCCTGGAGACTTTTTTGAGTAGGATTGGGAGGATTACAGTTAATGCAAACTTTATATACAGAGTTTTCTTCAGAAATGTGTCATGAAGCCTGTCACCCTTGAGAAGAAATAAATGGGCTGGTGTCTTTCTTCTTAATGACTGAAGATAGAACATTTTCTGAGGCATATTCAGATGTTGAAATACAAGTGTACCATATCATGTTTTCCCACTCGCACTCATTTTACGGGATCATAGGAAAGGGCTTTAGTTTATAAATAATAATAATGATGTAAAAGCCAAAAACCTTTTGGCTAGGTCATGGCATGGCCAGAACTAAATTCTAGGTCTTCAATTCTGTTATTCCTAATGATGAAGAGGTTTCTAATTTTTATTTCTGATTTTTATTGATTTTGGTTTCTCTGCCTACTGATTTGTGTGTGTGTGTACATGTGTGTGCATGCACACAGGGTAATGATCACAGAAAGAAATAGGAGAGCACAAAAAAGACCTTTTCAGTTGTCTTTTCAGAAAGCTGATATTCCTTTTGTAATATAAATCATTATTATCATATGTGTCTGTCATATAATTTTATGATTTATCAAATTTAAACAACATGACATAATTAAAATGTGAGCTATCCATTTTATGTATTTTAATATTTCATTGAATGATACGTTTTTATATAATTAAACTTGAGTATTTGAAAGGTTGTTATCAAACTTGAAACTTGATGGAAATCTTAACTGATTATTTCATTATATAGTACATTTTGAAAGCATAATTTTTCTAATTTTTAAAAATCAGTCCATCTATTTTGATGAACCAAATCCAGCACAAGCCAAAGGGTCCAGCCCGGATGGATTACCGGACTGGGTGGTGGGTGAGCTGGGGACCAGCGAACACAGATGCAGCGAATCCCGGGAGCTTTCCCCTGGAGAAGATTACTCTTTGGTGCAGTCGCCGACCGATGTCCACAGGTATGCCTGAGCCTGGGATTCCACGTGTGTCTCATCATTTAGCTTGTCTTTGGAACTGGTTAATACATTCCATATTTCCTTGTTTTTTTATGGTAAACAGTTGGTTTACTTTATGTTTTTGCTGAAGTTGAGGGCTATGAAGGAATGTCATGTTGGTAAAATAAGTGTTGCTTTTCCACTGATGGTATATTGAAGATTATATTACATTTTTAAGTGATTTTTGAATATCTGTTAAATATTTACATCTCTTTCCATTGCTTGGGAAGTGGTGATTGAAAGTCCTTTAGTAACATAGTTCTCTGTTTTCCTCTGGGACACGCGTGAACTGAGAATATTTCAGTGACTTCAACAAAATACAGCATCTTCCATATCCATCTTGAAGTTTATGCTTGAATTTCTGTCCTTCTCTCCCCTCACCAAACAGTATTTGTTTTGATTTAATAGAATAGTGAAGGCAAACATAAACCCAATTAAACTGTGCTTTCTTACTAGATATAAGCTTAAATACGATTTTTAGTACAAATAAAAGTATTTCTGAATTTTAAGTACACAATAAAACAATTACTGTTGTAGTATAACTTTTGGCCTTTAGAAGGAATAGATTTCAATTGGACTTTAATCAAATTATGTTTGGCACTGTTCCCTGAAATGTTCTTGTTCTTGTACTCACCATTCTCTTAGTAATTTTTATTTTTGGAATTTGATTAGGTTAACAATGTAATCTTTCTTTTCTACTATTAATTTTTTTTTGCTTTATTCCTTAAAGGGTACAGAAATCTCACTAGTAATTTGAAACATCTTCATAGTTGGTGTAGTCTGGTTGTGTTTTTCAGACCTCACATATTATGGTGGAAAAGAACAGATGAACATAAAGCAAGAGATCCAGTCCATGTGAAATTTTTTTATTAGAAAGGGGAAATAAGTTAATATGGAGAGGCAGAACAGGCAGAGGTGATATAATTAGGACATGTGTCAGAAGCATAAAAAGGGAGGAACAGGTGAGTCCATGGCAGATGGCTTCCTGGGAAGTTTAGAGTAGAATTCAGGACAGGAATGCACTTGGGGCCTCCAGGGAATCCAGGTGAATGGGACTTTTTCTCTCTCAGAATAGACGATCAAGTTGCAGGAAATATGGTGATAATATTCTTTAAATATTACTCAGTAACTTTTCTGGGCAATGAAACCATAGTAAAATCTCTATGGTTTTAACAAGTAACATATCTCTTTGTTTCTCACCTATAATAAAATGACATTTCAATGCAAATTACTTGAATTTGAGGCCTTAGTTAACAGTTATACAATAAGTAATTAATGGAAAAAGCAGACAGTCCTTCATTCCTTCTCAGCCCTTCAGAGCTCATGAGTTCAGAGAAGCGTCCCCTGGCAGCCCAGGTCTGTGTAGGTGACCTTGTTATCTGCACGTTTCCTCTGTGTCTCTGCTGCGCTCCCCACCCGTGCAGAGGTGCTCCCCTGTCCTCGGGCTGGAGCCTCAGCTTCAGAGCGCAGGGACGGTGTTCCCAGCGCCCTGGGCAGGCACTGTGGGGACGTGCCCGAGTCTTAGTCTTCGGTGAGTGTGCACAGGAGTCCGGGAGGGGGTGGTTAGGCCACATGTTCAATTTCATCTGTGCAACGCCCCTTTCAGACAGGTATGTTGGGGCAGAGAGAATAGCCCACGAGGATTTATTTTAAAAACTATTTAGAAAAACCTGAGGGAGGGACAAATTTTAGAAGTTAAGAGATGTATGGATATAGGCTAGAGATGCCTATTTGTTTCCTAGCCTTCTTATCTTATTTCTGATGAAGGTGTTAAAGAAAATGAAGGAACTGGAAAAGACAGCTGTCTTTCTAGTCAAGCGTTAGAGTCTCACTCAGGGTGAGGCCAGGTACGGGTATCTTTACTTAGCACGCTTTTAATTTAACTCAGTCTATTCAAAGTTTTTAATCTGCATGTATATTGCTTAATACTTGTAATTCTATATACATAAAGGTGCTTAAAAATAAAACTACTTTACTTTACCTAAAGGCACTACACTTAATTTAAGGCCAAATACATCATGTGTTTGATCAGCTCATAAGCAGTGGTAGAAGCTATTGATGGTCTGTCTTCATGTTTCTTTTCTAGAGTTGATCCTTTACTCTGAGTGGTCATACTGTGCTAATGAAAAAGTTAGAATCTGCTCGTGTTGACCTAATACATCTCATCAGTTCTGCACGAAATTGTTTTAAAAAGTTTAAAAGGCTTATAATATGTGACACATGTATGTTTTTATAGTGAATAATTTATTGTGACTTAGAACTGAAGTTTAATGCTGCCTCATAAATTTTACAACCACTTCAACTTGTCCTTTGAAAAACCTCTTTAATCTTAAAAGATTTTTCCCCCTTAGTGTTTCGTTTTTGATCACTATAAAATCCTGCTTTACTTAGGCCTTTCTGTATGTGAAGTATTTCTCATGGCATTTTAGATTATGCTGTTTGTATCCTGGCCTTTTCATATTATTAAAGATGCAGAGGCCTTTTGAAGCCTCTTTGCCAGGACTCCTGTTCAGTAGAGATGGTGCCTGTCCCGTACCTTTATTCTTCCTGCAGTGCATGTCACGTGGCCGCATCCTAGACACATTAGATGTGTAGTGAGGTCGTACACTCTGAGGCTTATTCTCATGCTTTTCTCCTCAAATACACACTGCACACAAGTAAACTTAGCATTTCACTTCAGTTTCAACATGGAACTAGTCCTGTCCTGGTTTTATCCTTTGCTTTCCTTTTTCATAGTTCTTGGTTTAATGTTATGTTATTACCCCATAGTTTATTTTAGAAAAACCACTTTCCAAGTTGCATTGCCATATTATTAGAGATCTTTTATTATATTTTTATATCAAATATCTGATTCTTTTGTCGACAGTGAAATATCTGAGTTACGTTTGAGTTTGGAGCACGATTTTACAAAATGTTAGAGCTCTCCCCTGTACAGTTTGGGTACTTTCCTGTAGCTGGACCGCTGTGAGTTATGTCCACGTGGGTTACTTCCTGGTTGTCTTCCAGGTGCTTAGCTCTGAGTGGTGGTAAAGGACCGCGTTGTCTCTGTGGTGTCCGGACCTGCAGGTGGCCCCGCGATGCTGCTGTGGGTGCTGACGGCCTCGCTGGGTCCCCTCTCCTTGAGCGTGGGCAGGACCTGTGAGGGTGTCTCACCAGCAGGATATGGCCGAGGTGACGGGCTGTCGCTTCTGTGAGTGCCAGGCGGTGCTGGAGACTGCCCTGCGTGCAGACCGGCCCTACGGGCCTGCTGCCTCCCTTGCTGCTGAGGCGCGGGCTGCCCTGAGTCTGTGGCCGGAAGGAGGTGGAGCTGCCGACAGCTGTGACCGCAGGCAAGGTGGGCTCCTCCCTCCAGGTGGGGACCCGGCCCCGGGCAGACCCCGAGCGCAGCCTCGTGCGGCCCTGAGCAGGGGCTCTGGCGTGGCAGCGCCCGCACTGCTGACCCACGGCAACGGGGAGAAACGTGGGCGGCGTGAAAAGTGTCTGTCCGTGGTAGTTAGTTATGCAGTAGATGACTAGTACTCTTTTTATCCTCATTTTAGAAGATTATGCAGTCATATGCGGTACATTCTTGTAAAAAGCTCAGTGTAGGCCTGCGAAGAGTAGAACGTGTTCTCACTCCACTTCCGCATGAGGGTTGTAGGCGTCAGTGCTTGGGTGTGTATCGTTCCATGTACATACACACCCACAGGCGTGTAACAAGATTGTAGTCGGCTTGTGCTACGTGTGCTGTTCTTCTGTCACATGACTGTTTCAATCCTGTGTCATGTGACCTTTGTGATCTTTTTAACACAGATGATAATCCATAGTGTAGATTTACTGTTACTAATCTGTCTCTGTTGCTGGTGGTGCTTTAGGATTATAAAGTATGTCCTAGTTGACATCCCAGGACATGTATCATGATGAACCTGTGTGTGCTTGGGCTGTTATTGATTCCGTAGCCAGGAACAGTGAAACATGTAATGAGCTGTTGGTGGGATTATTAGTAGGTTCAACATCTTGTACAGAAAAATATCTAGGCTAGTATGGAGTGATGTCTCAGATATGTGAAGTTCAAAAAAAGTACGTAAAAGTAGTACACTTCCATTTGTGTGTGCGTATCTCTTAAAAAGGACATGTGGATGTGTATGTGCACACGTGTGTGGAGTATTTCTGGGTGCCATGTGTGAAGCTGTTTTATGTTTAGGGAGTGGGGTAATCTGGTGTGAAAAGTTAAAAACTTTCTTTATACATGTGTCTGTTACTTTTAATAACCACACTTATTTTTTGATAGGAAGTGTCAAGTTGCCTTCCAAAATGCTCTCTCATTAAAACACTCAGCCATACACACTATTTAGATTAGTGATGCACATTAACGAATCTAACCATGTATAGCAAATACACAGATTTAAACAGAAGGATGAAACTTTCCCAATAGGTAGTGTTTGTGGGTTATACTTAGATTTCTAATTTGTTAAAACAGGAACCAAGTGAGGCAAGTTGTACATTTATGGAGCACCTACTGTATGCTAAATGCTATTCTAGAAATCTTTGGTAAGTTATCTGACTTCATCCTCTAGAATTCTGAGGTTGACAGTTGCCCTTTGTATTTACTGAGGAGGTTACCGCTGCAGTAAGGTCAATAAACTCCCCAGTGGTGGATGCAGAATTGGAATCTAGGTCTTAAAACCCCAGGCCCCGTGTGCTTCCTGGTAGGCCACGCAGGCATGAGTACTTTGCGCAGCAAACATGGAAACTTCGCTTTAATCCTCTCCCCTGCCTTGAGCTTTGTGAGCAGTCTTGGGCGACTGTGCCTCTGTTCGCGGTTCTTTGTGGGTTGAGTGAAATGAGGCAGTTTGCCTTTGTTTAAATATCACTTCTGACACTTGGCAACTGCCTGTCCTTAGGCAAGTTCCTTCCTTTCTCCCAACCCAGTGTCATCTTTTGTGAGAGGCAGACGGCAGTGCTGACCCCAGAGCAGCGAGGCT